TTGTATTTAGAATTCGAAGTTAAGGATTCAACAAGTACAAATGTATCATTCGTTCATTCAAACACCACAAAGTTCCAATCAATAAGATGATTTATAGTAAGTCTTTACACAAATACGTACGTTAGCATCAGAACATTGGAAGAACCAGACCCAATTACAGAGTCAACAAACCAGCTGCTCACCGTGGACTTCGACCAAAACGATGTGCTTAAGGCTCTTAGCACCCTAAACATGGAGAAGTCAACAGGACCAGATGAACTACACCCTAAAATCTTGAGACATATTGCCCAATATATCGCAGCCCAACTGACTGTGATATTCAAAATGTCACTTGACCAAGGTGTGTTACCTATGAACTGGAAGGACGCAATCGTCACTCCCATACATAAAACAGGTCCACGACAAGTTCCATCGAATTACAGACCCGTAAGCCTCACTTACTTACTTACTTACTCCTGTTACTCCTCGTGAAGGAGCATAGGTCGCTCACCAGCATTCTCCATCCAACCCTGTCCTTGGCAATCCTTTCCAGCTCCTTCCAGTTGTAATTCATCCTTTTCATATCTGCTTCTATTATCCGACGTAATGTGTTCTTTGGCCTTCCTCTTTTTCGCTTCCCCTCAGGATTCCAAGTTAGGGCTTGCCTCGTGATGCAGTTTGACGATTTGCGTAATGTATGTCCTATCCATTTCCATCGTCTTTTCCTAATTTCCTCTTCAGCTGGAAGTTGCTTTGTTCTCTCCCACAGAAGGCTGTTGCTGATGGTATCCGGCCAATGGATGTTGAGTATCTTGCGAAGGCAGCTATTTATAAATACTTGTACTTTCTTGATTGTGGTTGTTGTAGTTCTCCAAGTTTCAGCTCCATACAGTAGAACTGCCTTGACGTTCGTATTGAAGATTCTCACTTTGATATTGGTTGAAAGTTGTTTTGAGTTCCATATGTTCTTCAATTGTAGGAATGCGACCCTTGCTTTACCGATCCTCGCCTTTACGTCTGCATCTGAGCCTCCTTGTTCATCGATGATGCTTCCCAGATATGTGAAGGATTCTACATCTTCCAGAGTTTCGCCATCAAGAGTGATTGGATTGCTGTTCTCCGCTTTGAATTTGAGGACCTTAGTTTTCCCTTTGTGTATGCTGAGGCCTACTGATGCAGAGACTGCTGCTACACTGGCTGTCTTTGTCTGCATCTGTTCGTGTGTACGTGATAGGAGGGCTAGGTCATCTGCGAAGTCCAAATCGTCTAATTGATTCTGAGCTGTCCATTGTATTCCATGTTTTCCTTCAGATGTTGAGGTCTTCATAATCCAGTCGACCACCAGGAGAAAAAGGAAGGGAGAGAGTAAACAGCCTTGTCTGACTCCGGTCCTTACTTGGAATGCATCTGTCAGCTGTCCTCCATGCACTACTTTGCACTGTAGTCCGTCGTATGAGTTCCGGATTATATTGACAATCTTCTCAGGAACTCCGTAGTGTCGAAGAAGTTTCCATAACGTCCTCCTGTCTACACTGTCGAATGCCTTTTCATAATCAATGAAGTTGATGTATAATGATGAGTTCCACTCAACTGATTGTTCGACGATGATCCGTAGTGTTGCAATTTGGTCTGTGCACGACCGATCCTTACGGAATCCAGCTTGTTGATCTCGAAGTTGGGCGTCTACTGCATCCTTCATCCGGTTCAGCAACACTCTGTTGAAGACTTTCCCTGGTATTGACAGTAGTGTAATGCCTCTGTAGTTTTCACATTTGCTCAGATCTCCTTTCTTTGGAATCTTGACGAGGTGTCCTTCTTTCCGGTCCATCGGCACTTGTTCCTCCTCCCAAATCTTTTTGAATAGAAGATAAAGCATGCTTGTGGTTGTTTCGATGTCTGATTTCAGTGCTTCAGCTGGTATGTTGTCGGGTCCTGCTGCTTTCCCATTCTTGATTTGTCTGACGGCCATTCTAATTTCTTCCGTAGTTGGTGGATTGACATCTATAGGAAGATCTATGTGTGCTGCTTCGATGTCCGGTGGATTCATTGGAGCCGGCCTATTCAGGAGTTCCTCGAAGTATTCTACCCATCTGTTACGTTGTTGTTGAATTTCGGTGATTGGCTTGCCTTCTTTGTCTTTGACCGGCCTCTCTGGTTTACTGTATTTCCCTGATAGTTTCTTTGTTGTATCGTAAAGCTGTTTCATGTTTCCTTCTCTAGCAGCTTTTTCTGCCGTCGTTGCTAGTTCTTCCACGTATTTCTTCTTGTCGGCTCTAGTGCTCCTCTTCACTTGCTTGTTTGCTTCTATGTATTCAGCTTGTGCTTGGATTTTCTCTGTTCGTGTTCGGCTGTTGTTAATTGCTGTCTTCTTGTTCTTCCTTTCTTTGATCTTGTCCAGTGTTTCTGTAGAGATCCATTCCTTATGATGGTGTTTCTTTAGGCCCAGAACCTCTTGACACGTTGAAGTCAATGTTTCTTTGATGCCTTTCCAGTTGTCCTCCATGGTAGTTTCTTCTTCCTTCAGTAGATTTTGAAAGGCTTGGAACCTGTTGTTGAGAGCTATCTTGAATTCATTGAGTTTGTCAGTATCTCGAAGGAAGGCTGTATTGAACCTTTGTATTGCTGTTTGTCCACTTGTCCAGTTCTTTTTTAGCTTCAGTTTCAAATTGGCTACAACTAGGTGGTGATCTGAAGCTACGTCAGCACCTCTCCTGGTTCTCACATCTTCCATTGTCCTTCGGAATTTCTTGTTGATGCAAATATGGTCTATCTGGTTCTCTGTAGTGTGGTCCGGTGAGATCCATGTAGCCTTGTGTATACGCTTGCGTGGAAATATTGTGCCTCCTATGACTAATTTGTTGAATGCACACAAATTTGCAAATCTTTCTCCATTTTCGTTCCTCTCTCCCAGTCCATGTCGTCCCATGATATCTTCATATCCAGTGTTGTCTATTCCGACCTTGGCATTTAGATCTCCCATCAGAATGGTGAGGTCCTTTCTTGAGCATTTCTCTATGATTGACTGCAGCCGCTCGTAGAATTGATCTTTAATGTCGTCGTTGCTATCATTGGTGGGTGCATAACATTGGATAATATTCATTAAGATCCCCTCCTTCTTTGTTTTGAATGATGCTTTGATGATTCTGGATCCGTGAGATTCCCATCCTACAAGTGCATTTCGTGCTACTTTGGACAGCATAAGAGCGACTCCCTGAGTGTGTGGAGCATTGTCCTCTTCGTGACCGGAGTATAGCAGCATCTCTCCCGTAGCTAGCCTTTTCTGTCCAGCTTGGGTCCAGTGGGTTTCGCTGATTCCCAGTACTGCTAAGTTGTATCTCCTCATTTCCATTGATATTTGACTGGTCTTCCCGGTTTCCCACATTGTTCGAACGTTCCATGTACCTATAAAAATTTTTGCTCTGGTTGTTAGAAGGGGCATCGGCCTCGTGGCTTCCGAAGGAACTCGGCTTTCACCATGAAGCGTCATAATTCTTCTAAATGAAGACCTTCTAACTCCCAGGGCAGAGTTAAAATGGTTTGGATTATTTTTTCTGGTAAGCGTTTTTTTAGCGAGTTAGTTTTCTACGGGATGGGGACGCTAACCCCATGCCCAACCCTCCTCCTTTACCCGGGCTTGGGACCGGCAGCAACCCTATAAGAGCTACAGGCGGAGTTGTAAGCCTCACCAGTGCTGTAATTAAAATACTGGAAAGAATAATCAAACGGACCATAACGGCATTTATGGAAACCAATAACTTGCTGAACATGGCACAACATGATTTTAGAAAGGGTCTATCCTGTACAGCAAACCTCCTTATAGCTAGGGAGCTCTGGATTAATGCGCTAGACAACGGAAACTCAGTGGATGTTGTCTACATAGATTTCAGTAAGGCTTTTGACAAGATACCAACTAATAGACTGCTATTGAAGTTGGAAAACCTTGGTATTGCCGGACCTCTTTTAAAATGAATTAAGGATTTCCTAGTAGGTCGTAGGCAAAAAGTAAGAATAAATTCCAGGTGCTCCATCTGGAGACCAGTACTTAGTGGAGTACCCCAAGGTTCCGTCCTAGGTCCTTTACTTTTTATAATGTACGTTAATGATCCTACAAGTATAGTACAGTCTCCAATGTTATTATACGCTGACGATGTAAAGATTTGGCGAGTAATAACTGGAGACAAAGACGCATTTACTCTTCAGGCAAACTTAAAAAATATGATAAACTGGTCTAAAGAGTGGCTGATGCCTATCAACGCGGGAAAGTGTGTCTACATGCACTTGGGGGATTCAAAGGTTAATAAGTACAACATAGGGGATTTGTCATTACCCGTAGTCCGGTCTCATAAGGACCTAGGGGTGACAGTGAGCAATGATCTTAAGACGAAGGCCCATTGCCGGGAGGTCGCAGTTAAGGGGTTTCGAACCCTCTGGGCTTTAAAAAGGACATTCACTAAGTTTGATACTACCATGTTCACCACATTATACACATCCTTAGTGAGAACTATGTTAGAGAACTGTGTTCAGGCTGCAAGCCCCTGTTTAAAAGGTGACTCAGACATACTAGAAAAAGTACGGAGGGCAGCTATGCGTGCTATTCCGGAACTCCGGGGTTTATCATATAAAGAGCGGCTTGAAAAACTGAACCTCTTTACTCTGTCCTATCGCAGACTAAGAGGAGATTTAATATTGATGTAGAGCTTACTGAGAAATGATTTCGGACCTAACTTATTCTCTCTTTCTTTCCACTAGATCGGGACACCTCAGAGGACATAGCAGGCGAGTAGAAAAGCCAAGAACGAACAAAATACCCGTGGCATACATGTTTTCACACAGAGTCTTCAATAATTGGAACGTGCTGCCTGAAGCAGTGGTGTCCGCACCTTCAATTGACTCTTTCAAGACAAGACTGGACACTATCAGAAGCATACTAGAAAAGGAATAACATAGGCCGTAGGCTTTCCGTCCTTACTACACAAATCTGAATCTGAAATATTGAATTTGTTTATCTAACTCAACCGAAGCTGGCTTCTATGGATATGATGAGTCTCAATTCGTAAATCCGAACACATGGTCTTCAAAACATATCGCCCAGTACAAACTTCTATAAGTGTTTGGTTAAAAAATTCCTTACTTACTCATCAGATTATTTTCTTGGTAATTCCTGTTAAATAATAATAATAATTCACTAGTTATTAATGGGAATTCTTGTGGGTCTATCATGTTGGCTACTAATTTGGACATCTCGGTTTTCTGACTTCGAAATTATCATGAAGTCCTATTACTTTTCTTCCGGAAAGCTTGTATTGCTTATTTCATCTATATTTGGAGCTGGAGTGGCTGTTTTTGGATACTGCATTTTCAACGTTGATAGTCCTACTTTGTTACTAATTGTAAGTTTTGCTTCAAAACTTACTCAGAAAGCACATAATTAGCAACTTTATCCTTATTTGGGCGTTTCTGTCAGTAAGCGTTTGTGGATTTTTGCTATTACTGGAGGTGGTATCTTATTGATAATTATATACACTTTTCTAGTTGGACATAGAATTACCAGGTAAATTTACATCAGCGATAACGAAATATTATGGCATAAATATGTCAATTCGTCGAAATAAGGATTTGACTGCTGCATTAAATGAGATTCAATTCAAAGTATGCAAATCAAAGTTCACTTTTTTTCCTGTACAAATGTAGTTTAAGTGTTGCGGTACGCATGGTGAAAAATCAAGTAATTATTCATGGTTTATTTATAGAGGGTCAAGCACGTGGTTTTACATTACACAAGAGCTAGGTAGGTCCCAATATAAAGTTTTTGTTCAGCTGTAATTTATTTCTAAAGAGAATAAATATTTGGTCTTGAGAATTTTAGTGGCTAGTGATCTGTTTCAGTTTGGAAAGGACAGGAGGCTTGATGGCCTATGTTAGTCCTGGCAATGGTGGTCTGTCAGTTGATCCAACTTTCTTTTGAAAGAGTCGACGGATGGAGCCCCATCCACTTGCTGAGGTAATGAATTCCACTCGTTGACGATTCGATGGGAAAGTCGATAGTCAGCTGACAAGTAATCTGTTCTGGGCTTGTGAACGTTTTCGGAGTGTCCTCGTAAATTCTCTGTTTTGGAAGACAAGAAAAATGAGGGCGTATCAAGTGCAAATCTATCACTAAGCAGTTTGAAAACTGTAATCAAGCCGCCTCTAGTTCTACGATATGACAACGGGACTAGGTTTAGTTTGGCCAGTCGAGTATCATACGGGAGCTTCTCTATTCCTGGAATCAGCTTAGTCGCCGTTCTCTGTACCTTTTCCAGAAACTCACTGTCTTTTTAAGCAGGGGCTAGCCGCTTGTGTGCAGTGCTCAAGTTTAGGACGTACGAATACTGTATACAAAGTCAAAAACGTTTTGGCGTCGACATAACTAAAAGCCATAAAGTTCTAAAACCTTTGGCGGCTATTGCACGAGAGTGTGCAATCGTCTTTAAGTCTTGGCTAACGATGACTCCTAAGTCATTATGTGTCTGGTCAACAGGTAGCTCAGTGTTATTCATCGTGTATGTATCTGTACCTTGGTGACCGATATGCATCATAACACACTTGGAAGTATTTATCGGCAACTGCCATGTTTGAGACCATTCAGATAATTTCTTCAGGTCATTTTGGAGTTCTAAGCTATCACCCTTACATTGTATCGTTCTCCATATCTTGACATCGTCAGCATATAGCAAGACCGATGATAATAGGAGACGAGGAAGGTCATTTACATGCAAGTGGAATAGTACTGGCCCCAAAACTGTACCCTGGGGCACTCCACTAAACACAGTCTCCCAGCTAGATAACTTTGAGTTCACCCGTACTCTTTGTTGACTCCCAACTAAGAAGTCTTTTATTCGCATCAATAGATTGCCTCCAATTCCGACATTTTTTAGCTTCTATAACAGCCGGTTGTGCGGAACTTTGTCAAAAGCTTTGCTGAAATCAATGAAGGCTACGTCTACAGGTAACTTTTGGTCCTTAAGAGCTCACCAGCTTTCACGAGTGACTAATAAGTTAGTGAGACAAGAATAATCTTTTCTAAAATTTTAACAACCACAATAGTTAAAAATAAAAATATATATTTGTAATATCCCAATGAGTAGAAAATTGGATTTTCTGACGTTTCGTGGCTTAGTGTAAGTCACTTCTTCAGAGAATAAATAACAAAATTAAAATTAATCCAAGTTTAAATAGTACAACGGAACAATGCAAGAATAATATTTGATCAATGGGATATTACAAATATATATTTTTATTTATAACAATCAACCCAATGCTCAATTTATTCGAAATTATCAAATCAAACCTTGGTAATGACACCTACAAACCACAATAGTTAAGCTAACGGGTCGGTAATTCTCAGGTCTATGCTTCAAAACTGTTTTGAAGACAGGACTTACTATGGTGTTCTTCCAGTATTTTGGTAAACGACCCTGGGTTACGGATAGATTAAAGCATATACTTAAAGGGCTTGCAACGAAGTTAGATAATTCCTTCAGTAGCCTAGGATGCAAATCATCGGGCCCGGTGGATTTACCTATTTCAAGCTTATTTAGCAGACCAAAGACATAGAGTTGTTTAATGGTCACTCTATCCAGTGTATTTGTGGGGGAATTTGTATACGCTGACGGAAAGGGTGCTTCTATAGTGTATACATTGCTAAAGTAGTTCGAGAACCCTTGATCCTTACCAAAGTCGTCCTCCACCAATGATGCGGCAGTACTGTCTCCCCATAGTGCAGGAATGTTTCTTCTTTTTGTCCTTTGGTTTATATAGGAATACAAGCGTTTAGGACATTCTATGGATTCCTTAACAAGTTTTTCTTCGTACAACTTTCTAGACTTACGGAGGGTCGAGGCACAAGTGTTCCGAGCATTTTAATGCTGAGATTTTGTCTCATCAGTCCCTAGTAACCTAAATCTATCCCACATTTTTCTTGTCTTACGGAGAAGGATGCGGAACTCCCCGCTGAACCACGGTGGAGAGTTTCTCGGCCCCCTTGGTATAGTCCAAAGTATGTGGAGTGCGGTAACTTTTAAGCATAAATTTCGAAATGCGTCCCAAGCCGTTTCAATTGAGGACTCTGGGTCTATTGTCCAGTCTACTAACGATGCTGAGTGCATGATATCTGGTATGTTTGCTTTCCAGACGTTAGGTCTGGATTGAGCTAACGCGTACTCGTGATTGACAGTTATATGGAAGTCGAAAGTTAAAACTGCGTGGTCACTTTTACCTAAGGGTGGCATATGATGGAGGTTCGCAACATCATCCTCATAGTGAGTCAGTATAAGATCTAATAAGGATGATTCAGTGTCCGGATCGTACCTTGTCGCTTCTTTCACATGTTGTACAAGGACACATGTGATAACCCCATCAACTAGTTCCTACTCGAAGGAATTTTCTGATAATTCAGTTCGCAGAGTTTCCCAGTCTACCATGAGTGCATTAAAGTCCTCTAGGATTAGACATCGACCACTTTGTGACCAAGTATTGAGACTGCTCAGCAGGACTTCATTTACCTCATAGCTTGGACTGTGATAGACCAAACCAATTAGAAGCTCTTGTTCCTTGCATTTCAAGTGGCAGCTAACTAATTCACACGTCTCACTCTCCTGGGATACACTGTCGATAATGGTGAGTGGGATAGCATTCCTAATGAATAGAGCTACTCCTCCTCCTTTACGCTTTTGTATTCTATCGGCTCTTACTAACGTAAAATCCTCTAAATCAAGTTCCATATTATCTATAGCCTGTGTCAGCCAGGTTTCTGTGACTGCGATTATATCTGGCTTTGTAGAGTCAATCTGTACACCTAGTTCCGATCCCTTATTGAGTAAGCTTCGAGCATTGGTGTAACAGATCCGAAGCCTGTTTAAGTGGCTTCGTGCTTCACCCAGAGTGGCTTCGGTATCACTCTCTGTCGAAGCCTTACAACCCGAAAATTTACAATTTTCAGGTCCTTTTCTCCAGCGTCTAACCTAAGTTGTAGTTCTTTTTTGGCTTCCCATCTTTTTACGCGGTCTGCCAACGGTAATTCCTTACGGATAAAAACTCCTGAACCCTTTAATTTATGTCCATCCTGTAAAATTAAGTCGCGTTCATTCGAAGATTTGAATACTACTTTAAGCAGTCTGGATTGATTTCGCTTCAAGTTCGCTAGACTACCTAGTCTGTACATCTTTAGCAAGGTGACTCCGGGGATGTTTTGAGGCATGAGTTGATTAAGTAGCTGTTTCATCAGCACCATGTCATGCTCAAAACGAGTTTTTGGTTCGGAGCTTTCATTCTCCTTGATTCTACGAAAAATAACTGATCTGTCACTGTGGTTAGCATTCGATTTCTCGACTAATTTTATGGGGGCAGGATTCCCTTTTATATCGTTATGTTGTTTCTTCCTTACAACCTGTAACCATTCGTCAACGTTGCTATGAGAGGCAACCACAGTTGCGTCAAACATACTGTGGGATTCCGGAGGGTTGTCGACTATTTGGGAGGTCAGGTTATGTTTCCTGCTAGAAACCGATCGAGCCTTGCGATTGCGGCTTCTATGCGCTTCCTGCTGGATACCACTTAGAAGACGGGGGACAGAAGAAACTTCTTTTCTTCAGTTTTTGGTTAAGACAGACCTCTTTGAAGACTGTTTTTCCTCCTTTGGTCAATGTGAGTCACCTGTTTTCAAACTCACCTGACTTTGCTTCACACCAATTCGCGTGTCGACAGAGCGAGTACTGTTCGATTTATCCCGGCCACGCCCGCCAAAACACTTTTTTGCAGCATTTACCAATCAGATGGCCTCGGTTAGCAAGCTGTTTGCAACCGGACAGCGCTGTTGACAAAGCCATACGCAACCAATTTTACTGAACCGTTTGAAAGCCGCAGGCGTTAAATTCATGCAAACTTCCTGGTACCGGCCTTCCCACTCATCGCACTGCATGTCGCTTTCAACGGGATAACGACAGTCCGGACGTTGACAATTGCTTTTTTGTACTGTCCAGTCATCAGACAGAGGTCTTTTTTTAGAAAAAGAGAACTAGATGCAATAATATTCAGAGACAAAAATGATCTGTGACCAAAAAAAGTGGAAAACTGTAGATTGTTAGAACCAAAAGTACTAACAAATAGAACAGAAAACAAAGTACTCAAAAGTATCGACGAAAAACTAATTTAGAAACAGAAACGATACTCTAATCGAATATTTAACTGAAATAAATTCAATTAAAGTGAAAACAGTAGTATTGATGCGTAATAAACAATCAAAACAATAGAATTTACTCAGCGAGGAAAAATACCACTGTCCTTTTAATTAGCGCGCGTCATTTTGAACGAACAAATGAATATATCCTCGTTTAATTCTGTATACTGCATCTAGACCAATTCTATTCATGAAAAGTGGGTACTAAGAAGCCAAACACGGACGAAGTTGATTTGGTTTATTTCATATAATCGTTTGTGCAGACCGACATTAAAATGAGGATCGCGAAAACTAAGCGACGGCAAGCGTGCCAAATAATCTTGATATTAATCCATTATTTATACCACACTAAAGTAAGCAATAGATATGTGATGAATAAAGTAAGCGATCCACTCATATACGCTCAGAATAGATAATGCCTAGTGTTTCCAACAGAACTCCTTTAGATAAACTAATGAGTGACTGATTTACACACAAGGTGACTACGTTTGGAATTACAAGGACATAAATACGAGAAGTAGATTCACGGAAGGTCACAATTTTCTGTGAAAGGAATAAAGTTATTATGAAAATAAAAATAGCCCAATAGTTATTGAAGTTATTAAAGTCTATTCAGCTACTAGGATAAACCGCTTGTGTCCTAGTACCGTGGTAAACGAGAACAACAGTTGGGACGGCCAAATGTTTTTATATCAAGAGGAGTATAGTTGCGTCCCCCAATTTCTACATCGACAAGCATTCCCAAACTTACAAAACTTATCAAGCTATTGACTTGGTTGATCGTCATTCATTTTTCAATATACTATTAGTAATATGTGTTGTATCTTTAATACATTTGTGGTATATTTGCTCAATCCCGGATAAAGTATTTGTACACAAGCAATTATTGTTATAAAGACTCAAACGCTTTATTACGGATGTGCGAGTGTGAACATGTTGCTAAAAATGTTAACAAGTTTTATCTTAAATTTTCTGATTGCCTAGTGCACTATTTTTCATCTAGTTAAGTACAGAACAATCCCGCCTGTTGTAACGTGTGACTGCAGATTAGACGCGCAGCGTATTTATCGATCGGATCAATGACACGCAAAACACGTACGGACGACCTAGAATCCCGATTGGCCCTGCTTCGCTGTCTAGCCCAGCCATTTGAGTCCAAAACGCAAGTCTCAACCTCCGAGATATGAATCATTGTATTTCAAGCATACCCTTTTTATAAACCAATCAACCCGACCACAACGTACCAATAAAATAGAGAATAACATTTGTACAATAATTAGCCAGAAGTGGCTGTGAATGAGGGAGGTAGCGATTAACAGATAGGGAATAATTCATGAATGGTAAATCGTACAATAGTAGTTCATAGGTCAACATAAAGCTCATAATAAGAGGGGTATGAATATGAACAGTTTAGTTGCATAACAACTATACGATAAAAATATATTCACAATATTGGTCCATAATTGGATCTCAAAAATTACCATTCATTATTCTTATCGGAACACAACACCGCCAATCATACTTCTAAAGGAGGAAGCAAGTAAAAGTATTTGAAATATCATAAAATATAGATATAAGCACAAATAAACCATTTCAGAAACTACAAGCCAACGTCAAAATGTAGTTACACTAACTGGAAATTGTTTTATACAAATTCATACGATGACTCTTATCACTGGTTGTTAAGCATTCTTTTTAGATGCCAATGGTGATACTACATGAAATTAACAAAGTAGAAGTTCCAGATCTTTTAAACCTTTTGCATTTACTTTTTGAAGACATTTTTGGGCTACTGGGGTAATAGTTTGGGCAGATAGCAAACACCCATTGAAAACAAAATAGCATGATCTTGATTATTATTACTAAATAGCTTGTATCATATAGGTACTTGGGGTAACAAATAGAAGAAAATATGAGGTCTAGCGGTAAAATTTTTGCAGTTTGTGATTTCGGTTTTTTTCTCACAGATACTGAGAGTATCGTGGATTCATTAATGTGGCGGATCTTGACGGTTTATTACTTGGTCTATGCCAAATATTCACCAACTTTTAGGTTAATATTTTTGCTTTACGGATGCCTGGATGTAAATGGTTAAATATAAAGTTTATTATAAGAACTACGAGCAAGGTGCAGAAATCAAACGCAAGTTGTCTATTGTAAGGACCATAGGCATCACCACTGAGCTATTCAGGTTGAAAATAACTGTAAATAGGGTTGGGTTATGTACACTAATCGGTCACTGAGTGGTAAATAAGGTATTTTTCCAAGTTATTACTTGTGACTGAATTCTATTGGTTCATGCATCTTAATGATAACTTTATTGTCTTAACAGCTCACTTGCAATCTCAGAAGTCTCAATAAATTATTTGACTTTCGTAAAACCATTTGTTTAGATAGCGAATCCTTTTTATTTAAACCTTACTATTTTCTCTTAAAAATGTTTTACTTGTGACCAGCCGGGACAAAACTGTCTTCCAATTACTCGAAAATAAGATTTCATTTTAGTCTATTCGAAACTTTTAAATGCCTTTTTTAATATTTTGGCATAGGTCTAAAATCGACGGTCCAATACGTTCCAGAAAGTTGTTGTGTTTTAAAAAGTCACAATCTTCAATTCAATTCTTTCTCAGAAATTCAGTCGCAAAGTGGTGTTTTCCTAGACAGAGAATTATGTATTGGTTATAAGTCACTTACAACAAGAGACGATATTGCACCTCGTATTGATAATCCATTATATACCACTAGAAGTAATACATATCTATATGAAAAGGTAAAAATCATCAACAATGTCCAGTTTTTTCTTGAATGTTTTGCTTTTCTAGGGATGTGTAACGGTAGTCAGACAAGAGTATCAACAATATTCTATCATGTTAGCTGCTTCAGGCACAACTGCTCTGGTGCTATCTGTAAGTTGTTTTTGTTATAACAGCGAAATCCGGTACTTTTCAAGTTTTCGGTAAATAATACGACAATGGTACAATACAACGGTTTGGTACACTATGTATAGACAGCACCATGTTATACCTAGATGAAAGATTCATGATCAACAATCGACTATCAGATAATAGACCAGACAATAGCTTGTTTAGCACAAATCCAAGTATTTCACATGGAGTCCTTAGTGATATTAGAGTAAGAATCAATTATAGGGGTGGATTCATGATATTAATTAATGTCATAAGATTTGACAAATTGGATATCTATTTTTCTTCACTCGCTGTTCAGTCATATCTCGCTCTTACCTATCACACATCGGTCCTCATAAGACATTTTTACTAAATGCTGTGTTATTTCCTTTTATTTATATGAAGTTATTTCTGTTTCAGATAGTTGGATTTATTCTTTCACTGGTTCTACTATTCCATATTGAATATCAACAATTTGTTAGAATTTCAACGGACTGGAATATTAATACTAGTACAATTAATATAAAGTCATCTATACAAGACAATATCAGCACTACATCTAAACAGTTATCAGAGAATGAAGTGTTAGTTAAAGCCTAAAATATACCTATTGAGTTACATTACTTTATATTTCTGTATATTATATATACATTTTTTTTCCACGGAGCAATCCCTAATCACATAAGATTCTGTTATATTATATATTTGTAGAATGAATATGTAGATAAATGTGAATGAGGTGGCTGACATTTCTGCGTATATTGTCAGTTGTAAATCAAATTTATAATATTGAAGTCTGACGACACACATTTTTAAATCATTTGATTGAACAGGAAAAATGAAGCATCTGATTATTATCAATAGGCCTACTATACTATTAAGTAAATTTCTTGATCTTAATTTAATGTTTACAAAGATCACTTCTTGCTTTAAAACAATTTTCTTCTAAAACTGATATCATTTAAGAAGCTACTGAGAATAGTTGATTTCATTCTACAAACTTAGATTTTCGTCATTATGTAGAAATAGAATTTTGTTCGAGAACATAAAATTATATATATAGGAGTAGGATTCCATTCATGACACACAAATTGACAACAAGTACGATTACTAACTTCAGTATATTACTCTATTGAGCCTTAGGGAACTTAGGAAGATAGCATCTTTCTTGTGACTGGGAAGAATTATTTAGCAAATCTACGACTTTCATAGTTCACGTCACGTATTAATATTGGTTAAACAGTCAATAAGAACTAGAATTCATTTGAAGCTGTTTCGCCCTAGTATGGAACCCTTCAACAGTATCCATCCACAACCATATTAGCGATCAAATTCAGGACCTTAGGTTTCACAGAGAATGGGAAATGACTTATTATGATTTATCCAATTACAGAACAAATTGGTCAGTAAGATATTCCAAACCACGTACTAATATGAATCAAAATCTGGGGTAGAAACATTATCAAACTAACAAACTGTTTACAATGCTTTTTTAATTTAATTGCATTATGTCAATGACCTTCACTCATCTAAGATCAAAGTACGTTGGTTTATATCTACTTAACTGACCACTGATGGAGTTTGGCTTATCAGTAAAGCACTAAATGAATATAATTTACCCAGAAAGAATCTTTGACCTGAGCTTAGTTTACCAAGTTAAATTCAGAAGGTGAGGGTTTTGGGTTTTGCTTGCGTATGTATCACTTCTTCATATCCATAAACATCAAATAACAGTTAAGAAGTAACAGTTCTAATTAGTCTTCTACAAAAGATATTGTTTAATTTCGCAATCTGTTAGCTGAATCATCTTTTTAATTCTGACAGACGAGAAGGCATAAGTAGTAATGAAAAAAATTAGTACAAAGAAAATGAAACTGTTGAAAATACCCTAACTCAACAAACACCGACTAAAATGTTAATATATGAAACAATACTTCGACTTAAATATCTCTATACCTGTATTCAGAGAATGAGAGACGGGGAAGAACAGAAGATCTTCACAAAAGACGCTAAGCAATTAAGGGGAAAGAAGAAAATGTTTGCATAAATATCTGTCACTAGTTATTAATCATTAAAGAGATAGACTTACAAGACTAAAGCTAAATTAGTAAATAAAGTCAGAATTTTGAAGTTTCATGGTTGGATTTATGTCAGTAGTCCTGTTTTTTGCACAGGATTAGATGGAGGATGTCATAAACTTCCTGAAATTTCGATATCTAAGTTGTATCGCAATCAAAATACATTGAAATACATCCAATATATCAGTTTCATCAGTGAAGATCAATTACTCATTGGGTTAGAGCAAAACAGTCAACGGGAATTCTAAAGTACATGAAGACAATAAAGTCCTAGAAGACATGCATTAACACAGGTAAATGGAACGAACTGACACAACACTTGTGTGCTTATATTAGAAAGCTCATTTCCATTTGAAATAGGCGCTGATAATTTTATGCAGGATGAAAGTGTAAGCTTCGAAGTTAAATTATCCAGCTCAGAGGATACATAATCATCAAAAGCTGCACGGATACGAGAATATATTTCAGCATGGCAGTTCTGTCATTGAACATTGAGTCGGCTTTAATTATTTCACTGATTCACATGTTGATTTTAAAGTACATGAGATTTGTCTAAATCTACGAAGATTTCTTAGTGTTTGACTCCGTAAACCAGCATAAGCTCTTGCCATCCTTGAAAGGAAGCCATAATTTTGTGTACAAAAGAAGTACTTCTTTTCCTTGTCATTACCGTAACCTTAAATCATTATTACTTAATTCCATTCCATTGACTTCAAATTCAGAAATATCCCTCTTCATTTCATTATTCTTCATATTTCCATAAGTTATTTATAATTGTTTTTAACATCACTTCATTTCATTTAGCTTCTCTAATATCTTCAACTGTTGTGACAAGAAGCATATTAATTATCATGCTCTGTTTACATTATAATCCACTGTTAGCTGATTATTTTTACAGGCCTGGTAATAAATCCTTTGAAATGATATCTTTTCGCTAAATTTCGTGTTTTTATTCAGAAACATTTACTTGTAAGATACTCTTCTCAAATAAGATTAGATTAGAAACTTGGTCATGTTTCCGAAAAATCTAATAAAATCCATCCATGATCGACGACAGAAGACGGTCGTACAATTCATAGGGTTTCAATAATAGTAACAGTATAATTGAGCCCCAATACTTTCAACAAAGCAGTCATGAAAGTGGTGGAAATTTAGAGAAAAAGTGCACCAACTCGGAACAGATAAATATTGGATTAGTATTATCAGTGGAAGTAAGATGGGATGATGTTGGAACGTAGTTACTCAAGGTAAACATAACGTTAATGTAACTGGCGCTAAATCCAATCAATTAACTGTATTTTCTGCATGTATATTTGCCAATATGAGATATTGTTTTCAGTGGGTGATTAGCTAAAATCATTTCAATAAAGTCATTTTTATTCTTACCTCTAAAGAGTTAGCCTAACTGAAGGAACGTTAAATTAATATATACTACTATCACATGATGAGTAGTATATAACATTTGTTAAATTTTATTCCCACACTGAATCGTTAATCAGTCATTTGTATGTACACCAATCATCTCCAGTGTCCAATTTTTTAATTAAATTTGATTAGGAGAAAATTTTCACAATACCACCACCACCGCAACAAAAAATATGTCAACGATCGTACATTCACAAAAATGTATGACTGTTGGACACCAAAACAGAGAATTGTTTCGATGACTAGCTCAATCATATACATAAAGAGAGGGAAAGAAATACAAAGATTTTGAACAAAAGTGTATGTCAAAAAAATGCAATCCACACAACTTGTCAACAAAAGTAAAACGAAAAGCATTTAAAGAAAGTATATAGGGAAATATATCTCAGTAACAACCTTAAAAATTGTGGGCGGGAGGTTTCATCTTGCTTTTTCTGCTTGAAGTTTGTAAAATGAATTAAAAGTCAAGAATACTACCCTTTCATACTTTTGTAGTCATATATATATATATATATATATATATATATATATATATATATATATATATATATAAAAGCAATTGTGCAAAGTAAACTACAATCGTAAATATAGTCGTCAAAACACTGGAACATTATTGTAGTTTTTGTTTTTAAAATTTCACTTCCATGTGGTGTAATTCATATATGAATGTGAGTATAGAAATTCTTTTTTTTTAATTTCCAATTTAATGTTTGTGAGTTAATTTTCTTAATGGATAGCTTTAATTTGTTTGAATATTATGCTTTTAATTATATCCTTCATTATATCATATTAATGTGTCGCTCAATTTGTGGATTAGTTGAAGTTAGACATTAACACCGTTGGTTGCTGGCTCAGTGGTCTAGCGGTTAAGCGAGACTGAAAGGTTCTAGGTTCGGATTCCACGGGAGGCGGAATCGTCGGCGCTCACTGCTGAGGAGTCCCATACTAGGGCGAGACGGCCGTCCAGTGCTTCCAGGCTTTCCATGGTGGTCTAGCTTCGACTAACTCATGATCTCAACCACTTACACTATTTACTTATTTAAACACATAAACATTAGTATTAGGAGGCGCTAAAAGTATATGCTTCACATAAATCAAGTGATTTATGGGATACTTCCCGTATACCCAAACCGAAGCAGGTGATTTTCTTGGGAGGCCACACCCCGAGCCTTCAACTTAAAGGTCTGACCCACAAGTCAGTGGAGCAACGTCAGGATATTCAGTCCTATGGTAGCCGGTGATCAACAATCGGTTCATACGCCATTTGTTTCTTTAGGATCCTGGAGCTAATGTACCCCATTAGTTTGAAATCAGGGTTTTTAAACTTCCCCAGGTTAATCCTCTCAATTTTGTACACAACACCCTCGCCACGAGAAGGCAGTGAGTAAAACTTCCCTGGTAGTGGTTGTATGCACGCGACCACTTGAGAGCATTTCGAGAAGGAGGGTTGACTCTATTCACTTTGGCTGTACCAGGACATTTGGGGGCCTTATTAATTACAATTGAACTAACAATTTCGTTCATGAAACTTGTTTATAAATTTTAAATGAATCAATTATAACAAAGAAAGAACCATTTGTTAATTTACTGAGCATAATAGATGAAGTTTGGGTGGAAAAACAACCAGAAAAATACAGTTCACAGACAAAGTTCTCCCTTCAACAATAGAGATCTTCATCATGGACAATAATGGGTTTCCTTTAATATTTAAAAATTAGATTCAAATGATCATGTCAGTCAGTCAGCTACAACGTAGGACCAGGCACATTGACGCATCAGTTCAAGTTGTCATACCTCATTAGCACAACAAGATGAACACCGAATTCATAGAAGTAGTTGCTTCATTGGTATTAATGTATAAAAGAAAGATTGTGTAATAGGATATAGTACAGGAAGAACAAAGGAAGGTATAAAGCTATTTTAATCTCACTGTTTAAGGGAAGACACAGAGTGTATATACCGACACCATGTCACCCACAGTCTCCAACCATTGGTTACAATAGTTACGCGGACCCCAACCAAGTAATCTGTATCTACCGACATGGCTCAGGCCAGAAGTCAGTGACTTCAAGGACTTCAATGATCATGTGCACTTAGAATATTCAATCAAAATGATAATAACGACTTAGACTGAATTATATTATCATTAAACGAATC